CATCATGAGGAGGGGTGGCGAGTATACCTTCCTGGGGTGGGCTGTCATCAGACACTGTCATGTGACCTCAGTGGGCAGGCCTCTCCTGTACTGGTGCCTGGAAGAATAGCCAGTGTTTCCAGGTAGGGGGAACACAGGACACATACCCCTCCCCCACAATGCAATGCTCTTGTGTGCGGCCCCCCCTGTTCCCCCCCTGGGGGGGGGGGGGTGTTCATGCGGTCCTTCAGTGGGAATTGTGTAGCCCAGCTCCCCCTGAACAGAGGTCTCTTGTATATATGTGTATACAGTATATCTGGCTTCATGCGTGCCTCGTATAACTCCGCCTACCTCTTGTCTCAGCCATACGACGAGGAGGAGGAGGAAGACGATGAGGATGATGAGGACAGTGAAGAGGATTCCGAGGATGATGAGGATATGCAGGACATGGATGAGATGAATGATTATAACGAGTCTCCAGATGACGGTGAGATTGAGGTCAGTGAAGACTCCCGTCGCGTGTATTGTGTCAGCCCGAGCGCTCCGCCTAGAAGTGACCCCGGACCAAATATACTGAAGACTTATCACTGGGACCGTCTATTATTATGTTCCCAATCCGTGTCCTGAGAGACCTACCCCGTGCCTGGATTTCCCCCCGAAAAATATCAGAGCACTTCCTGTGTATAGGTACTCCTTATATCAGAGCACTTTCTGCGCCTAGGTACTCCTGATATCGGAGCACTTCCTGTGTGTAGGTACTCCTGATATCGGAGCACTTCCTGTGTGTAGGTACTCCTGATATCGGAGCACTTCCTGTGTGTAGGTACTCCTGATATCGGAGCACTTCCTGTGTGTAGGTACTCCTGATATCGGAGCACTTCCTGTGTGTAGGTACTCCTGATATCGGAGCACTTCCTGTGTATAGGCACTCCTGATATCCGAGCACTTCCTGTGTATAGGCACTCCTGATATCCGAGCACTTCCTGTGCCTAGAAACTTTAATCCCCCCCACTTTCTCTGTGCACACAACCCAGTGATCCTTGCCCGGGGCCCAGACCTCAGACATGGCCCCCTTTTCCTGCTAACCCAATGGGGCTTGGACCTGGGGCAGGGGGACTGTCTGTACCCCATATTGGCGGTCCTGCGTACAGCACATTCCACTTCCTCATCAGAGTTCCCCCTCCTGGGGCCCCGGGATCTTCCACACCTGTCTACTGCCCAGGCCAAGCTGTGTATACCTAAAGCTGGAATTTTGATTAGAACCGAGGGTGACCCCGTCAGTACAACCCGGGTGGACTATTGTCAGCCAAATAGTGACTGCGTCCAATCAGATGCAGCCATTGGTCAGGTGTTCAGACAGCCGCGGGTGTCAGAATACAATCGCCTGGCAGGGGAGATTCCTCCACCCACCCTGATTGCAGTCATGTGACCTCAAACATCCAGCCCCTGAATGTTTCCTTCTGTCCTGCAGGCCGACATGGAGGGAGCTGAGCAGGACCAGGACCAGTGGATGATCTGATCGGTCGAGGCCTCGGACCGTCTACTACTACTACTACTCCCATCTTCTCATCCGCCAAGAGCCGCTTGTAAATGTATTTATATTGTAGATGATGGCGGAGGATGTGATCTGGAGGGGGGGTTCGTTTTCTGTGAAAATGAGAGAAGAGATTTTATACAGCGCAGAGTCAACTCCATTGGTGATCCCTGTGAGGGGGAGGGGCTTTATCCTCCATGCCTTGATGGGGAGGGGCTTTCTCCTGCATACTCTCGAGGAGGGAGGGGCTTTCTCCTCCATGCTCTGAGGTGCGAGGGGCTTTCTCCTCCATGCTCTGAGGTGCGAGGGGCTTTATCCTCCATGCTCTGAGGTGGGAGGGGCTTTATCCTCCATGCCTTGAGGGGGAGGGGCTTTCTCCTCCATGCTCTGAGGTGGGAGGGGCTTTCTTCTCCGTGCTCTGAGGTGGGAGGGGCTTTCTCGTCTGAGGTGGGAGGGGCTTTCTCGTCTGAGGTGGGAGGGGCTTTCTCGTCTGAGGTGGGAGGGGCTTTCTCGTCTGAGGTGGGAGGGGCTTTCTCGTCTGAGGTGGGAGGGGCTTTCTCGTCTGAGGTGGGAGGGGCTTTCTCGTCTGAGGTGGGAGGGGCTTTCTCGTCTGAGGTGGGAGGGGCTTTCTCGTCTGAGGTGGGAGGGGCTTTCTCGTCTGAGGTGGGAGGGGCTTTCTCGTCTGAGGTGGGAGGGGCTTTCTCGTCTGAGGTGGGAGGGGCTTTCTCGTCTGAGGTGGGAGGGGCTTTCTCGTCTGAGGTGGGAGGGGCTTTCTCGTCTGAGGTGGGAGGGGCTTTCTCGTCTGAGGTGGGAGGGGCTTTCTCGTCTGAGGTGGGAGGGGCTTTCTCGTCTGAGGTGGGAGGGGCTTTCTCGTCTGAGGTGGGAGGGGCTTTCTCGTCTGAGGTGGGAGGGGCTTTCTCCTCTGAGGTGGGAGGGGCTTTCTCCATCTGTATCACACCTGTCAGTATTGTTGCGTCATCTGCGGACGGGAATTTTTTATTTTTTTTTGTTGAAACCGGAAATAAATATTGTTTTATCAAATTTGTTTGGACTTCATATAAATCTCTTCCCGCCTCCTGCACATCACTATTGGTCAGCCTGACCACCAATCACGTATAGCGAATAAGTGGGGGGGAGGGGGCTGTAGCTAGTGCATGGTGCTAGAGGAAAGAGCTGCCAGAGGATTGAAATGCATTTTGTGCGATGGCTAGTTTTATGTAAAAGGCACAGGAGGGGAATGTGGTCTGGGGTGGCCTTCACTTTCTGCTAAGCAGCAATGACATCATTACTGTGGGAGGGGCCAAGCAGGCTCCACCCACTACAGGCTGCCTGCACAAACTACAGGAGGGGGGCGGAGACAATACCAATCACCCCGCACAAGGAGAGAGAACTGAAGAAGTGGCTTAGAGGACCCAGAAACATCTTGAACAAGTGCAGCTCAATATAACCAATTACTGCTAATTGAGGAGGGAAGACTGAAAATAAAAAAGTAAACGCAAAATCATTTTTTAACCTCTTGCCGTCCGCCCGTAGTAAAAAAACGGACGGACGGCACTGCAGCATCTGCGGGTTGCCGTCTCCAGACGGCAATTTTTTTCTGCTCGCGCGCGCCCCCTAGCGGGCACGCACGGGCAGAAAAGACCCGCTAAATGCACACACCCGTTACCGGGTGTTTACTGGAGAGGGGGGAATCCCTGCAGGGAGCCGTGAGAGACAGTCACGGCTCTCTGCAGGGATAGATCGAGAAGTGAGCGAGCACCGGTATGTGTTCCCTCACTTCCCGATCTACTGAGCCGACCTGTGACAGTCTCATTGTCACAGGTCGGCTAGAACTATGAGGTCAGTGATTTTCACTCACCTCATAGTTCTTCTTTTAAGGAGAACTCTGAGGTCAGGGCTTTTTCCCCATAGTTCTCCTTAGGGTAAAGGGGGGACACAAACTAGCGTCCTCCCGTCACCCTAAGCTCAGTATACTGCGAGCTACTGAGACGCCGCAGTATACCGCGAGCTGCTGCTCGCGGTATACTGACACGCTGAAGCAGATCCCGTCATTTGTCCCGGGATCCGCTCAGCTGCGTGACTGACAGCTGGCTTTGCCTATCTAGAGGCCTCCTCCAGCGCTGACTGGCGGAACGGGAGGGGGGAATCCAGCCCCTCCCCTGTCACGGCAGAGAGCCACTTGAATTCTGGGGTGTTAGACCCCCCCCCCCATGGCAGTGATGGAACCTTTCTGAGCCCGAGTGCCCAAACCAGATCACTAAACCAACTTATGTGTGTGTCAAGGATTCCAGAAAACACTTCAAACGAACAAAAATACGATACAAGAGGATTTCCCTCCCCCGCTGAGTCACGTGTGCTGTGCTAATGGGTGACGTGTTGCATTGCCGTGTGCTACCAAGGTACATGTCACGCAGCACACTGCAATGGAACAGACTCTCTACTGCTCGGAGTCAGTGGTGGAGCGCCAGGGCCCAGGTGCAGCTGCGACCCCGGTAGTTCTGCCACTGACTCCGAGCTGTAGAGAAACTTAGTCATCTCAGCAAATGCATTATATAAACCGCCAACTATAGAGGACTACAAATCCCAGCAGTACATTACACAGCAAGGCAGAATACCATCAGGTATAGAGGACTACAAATCTCAGTAATACGTTATACAGTAATGCAGAATGATATAAGGCTGCATACTCTGTGTTGCTCCGGGGTGGCGGCCTGATGTCTGCAGGGTCCCTGGAGGGCTGTATAGGCTCCTGTGCAGCTCTCAGTGGGTCTGTGCGGGCTCTCAGGGGGGACTGTGTGGCTCTCAGGGGGTCTGTGGGGCTCTCAGGTGGTCTGTGCGGCTCCTAGAGGGGTCTGTGGCAGCT